GAGCAGATCAGGACAACTTTCTTACAAACCATTTTTATCATTTGAGGAGTCAGTTTCTGAGGACCTGACCTAGTATTAGTGGGAGATATCAGCAAGAAAGAAGATTTCTGTGCTCTCTGATATGTGAAATTGTAAGTCTGACCCAATCTAGTCAGAGTGGTGTGAAAGCAAGGAACAAAACAGAGCTCAGTCTCCACCTGATCTTCTGTGTCTGAAAGCCAGCTATCTGTGTCCCCAGGTAGAGCTGTGTGCATTAAAATAGGGAGAAGCAATCAGTTAATGAGAAAGACAGCTCTTATCAACATGAAATAAGTCTCACAACATTTGAGATGCAGCAAATGGTTTTTTCCCTGCTATTCTTGAAATCCGCCCAAACCCTTTTTGTGTGAGCACTAAGAAATGAGTACGTTGAGTCATCAGCTGAGTAAGCAGGTAACAATCCTCTCTCATCATGCTGTGTCTGTTGGGGGCTTCTCCAGTGATTAAGAAAGCAAAGGCTAAAAAGAAAACAATTCTTTCTCTGCTTGACTCTTCGGAAAAATATGAGAGCAGACCATGTAGCTATGGGAAACAAATTGGACATCTGAGACAACACACTATGGACACAGCAATGCTGTTTGAGTTTAGAGTAGGTTGGAAGTAAATAAATAACCAAACCCAGTTTTTTTACGAAGGGATTAGAGGGGGTTCAACATTGTCAGAGGCGGTGTTTCAGTGACAATGAGAAATGCAGAAAGAGGAAGTAAATAACTGCTGCTGGCAGGAGAAAAAAATCCACAGGGAGCTGATCCACATGATGAGAATTACATGAACTATAGCAGAATCCAAGGGGCTACTAAACTGCAGTAAAAAACATAATAAAGTGACTGGGCAATCAGATGAGGATGAAATCAGCTCAGGTAGGCACAGTGAAGGTTAAGCAAATAGCAAACTCAAACGGAGACTCCAGTGGAAAAGAATTAGTTGCAAAGGAATCAACAAATGCAGTTTTATGGAGTCACAGTTGTATCCTGGTTAGAAATGCAGTAACATATTCAGATAATAAAAGACTAAATTATGATGCTGCTACTTTCTGGATGGGTCTCACCCCTATTATCTAGTATGCCAAGAAGGATTTAAAGGAAAAAATAAAAATGAGCAATTGATGGACTATCTCTTGAGGAATTAATTCATAGTGGGCAGTCTTGTCTGAGGCAGGGGTCCTCCCAAGTGGGAGCATTCCCTAGAAAGCTTTTTGCTGTACGAATTCCCTTCAAACTAAAAGCAAAAAGGGTGTTTATTCCCAGTGGCATCTTTGAAGACCTTCCTGCTGGGAGAGAAATAAGGTCCTGATGCCCGAGGATCAGCCCTGTGACATTCTCCTTCCTCTGACCTTGGGATGAAAGAGCACCCACACAAAGCAGATCAGTCAGTTCTGGAGGGAGCTTACCTGCTATTTCTAAATACCCAGCACTAACAACCAGAGCGAAGCTGGGACAGGCTTTCACTGCAAAAAGGAGCTGGAGAGCATGTGAGAGGAGTGAATCATTTGTCCTTTCATGTATTGAGAATTTCGGCACGATACCCCCACCTTTTGCTTTTCTCTATACGCAAGAAAGGAGTCATCCCTTCTGCCACTTCTATTTATAAATAAAGCTAAATTGCTGAGTGCTTAAGAAAAAGAAAAGCAAAGAGGTTGGTCAGCCTGGATTTTAAGGAGAATGTATCATATCCAAAATGCATGGTATGTTTAGCTCTCAGCTTAGAGTACCACTTTGCAAAAGCCTGCAATGCCCCTAGTAGTTCTTTTCTATTGTGGAGTCTTTGCCACTATTTTTCAGCTCAAAAATGTGAATGAAGTTATGCCTTGCAAGCAGCTCTGTAGTGTATTGCAGTAACAAGCGGAAAAAATCCATCATAATGTTTCTTTAATGCCCTTGGTATCCTTCAGAAAGTCTGTGTGCTGAAATCCATGTGAAATAAACACTTTCCCTCCACTTAAAAAATAGACAACAAACCAGTGAGATCTGTAAATATAAGCATCATGCTGTGAATCATATGGTAGGGTTTGTTCACCTTTATGATATGAGCAGTATAATAAGCCCCTCTGGCCACTGTTTCTCCTCTTAAGTAGCATCATAGGCCATCAGCATGGGATTATAGCAGGAGAAAAGCAAACTTGGTGTGTACAAAGCAGCAGAAATTACCCCAGTGAATAACTTGGAAAGAATAACCACTTGTCAGTGCTGGTAATCTTGGCTGGGATATGAGTAGTTGAAGGTCTGGCCAATAGCTACTTTTTAGGGCAAATAAAATAACCCTTGTGCCATGGTATGTATTTCTGGACAGAAGAAGTTTATGGCATTTCCCACCAGCCACAGATGACGCTGCACAGGGACCAGACTGTGACATTCTTTCTCAAATGCTTCTTGCTTTATGATACACAAATGTCCTCTTGATTTAAATGGGACTGACTGTTCTTTATGAAGAAGGGGGGGGCAAGAGAAAATTCTCTGATTTTTTAACACGAAACTTCACGTCTTGCTGACAGTGGTGTGTGTATAAAGCACATAACTAACTCTAGTTGTGTGGCTGCAAAACTGAGGTGACAGAATTGACTTAAGTATTGAGTGCTGATGTGGCTTAATAAGCTCTACTTTAGCAGTGTGATGTTTGTGTCAAAAAAATCTGATCAGGACAAGAATTTGGATTGTACATTTGCATCTTCAAATGAAAAAGAGGACAGAAAGGAATGTTGGTTCTATTAAAAAACAAAGATTTTTTTAATCTTTCTAAAGTCTGTTGTATAGCTCAAGTCTGTAGCTGAAGTTTTTAATTTAGTTTGTGTGTGATGGAAATAAGATGGGTCGTATTTCTAGCTTTAGAAAACTTCAGAATACTTTCAAGGAAGCAAAATTTGCCAAATCTGTCAGGCCCATAAAGAGATGTTCATCCCCAGTAGCAGAGCAGCTCTGGCTCTGTGCCTGCCTGTATTATCAGGTGTAATTGGCATTGTCATTTGCTCTTTGGGTCAGAGGTTCTGTCTTGCTTGCATCTTGTAATGCTATGAAAACTAAAGGGAAAGTGAATGATAATGAATATGGAATTAGTAGGTGTTCTAACTCAGTGGTAACTCCTTCCACCTGGGGGCTTCCCTCCTCTGCATTAAAGCTCCCACACTGACCCCCAGGGCTGGTTATAAATCTGTAGGATCGTGGTTCAGCCATGTTATCCCATTCTTGTGTTGCTGGAAGTGACACTGGGGTGGCCCTGGCCTGAGCCACAGGGATGCTGTGTTGACCTCCTTGAAAACATGGCAAGTTTGCTGCTGCCTATATAACTGTGATAGAGGAATCTCACCTCTAAAGTTCTATGTTATACCCAAAGAGAGAATTATGGACTCAATTTTTTTTTATTTGCAGTTTTACTGGGGCTTTTGTGAAAACTAGGGGTTTATTCTGTATCCAGTACCCAACCCACTGCCTGTTTGCACCTGTAGCTTCTTATAGTGCATTGAAGTGCAATGCCCACAGCAGGAACAGATAATTCACTTTCTCAAAGATGCTGCTTCTATTAGCCTGCTCATCAATAACTTGGGCTTTTGGTCATCCAAACCAACAGCACAAGGCCTCAGTAAAGAACTGGAGAGAAGCAGCTGTGTTTCCTTGGGGATGTCAGCCTGCTTCTGCTGCCTCCCAGCAATGCAGACACTTCGAGAGCACCCATTTTGGTTAAGTACTAAGCACCTTTACCTCCCACTAAACATGTGAGTGCAGGCACTAACTGTTGTTTCAGCAGCTGCTCTCTGAGACTAGAGGAGATAGAGCTTCCCCAAATATCTAGCTAATGTTTCTTCCTTGCTAGGGGTTGCTAAGTAGCAGTTTTTGTCAACCTCCTATCTAAGAATATAAATCCTGTGATTTGCTAGGACACCCCTGACGAGAAAATGGCTCTGATTCCTTCAACGTGCAGAAAACTCAAAACCAGTTATTGCTGGGGAAAAAGCATTAACATTAGCATTCACAATCTGGGGAGGAGAGGCTTCTTCCTCCTATTTTCAGAGGAATAATTTAAGAATTGCATTAAAACAGTCTAGTCTACATGCAAATTTGATTTTTGACCTTTTGTGCTAATCAACAGCCATGGTGCTAAGAAGCTGTGTACATTATTGAGGAAAGTATGGAGTAGAATTAACTACTATACCTTTAATATGGTTGTAGCAGATTTGAAGGTTATTTTACATACTTCAATACATAGGGTTCAGGATCTGAACCACTAGAAACGCTCTGGGTAGCAATTATTAACCCTTAATGGAGACCCTGGTGGTAGGTGTAGTATACTATGGGTATTAAACATATTAACAGTAGTTTTGGTGGTTATGTGAAGAAGGGATATAACATAATAGGCCATAAAGATTTGAGAAAATTGCATGTAAAGTCATTTTAAATAAACTGGGCACACTGTTAAATAATTAGGATTACTTAAAGGTATCTAAACCTCATTTGAGCTCAGCTCCTAATGGAATTCATGGAACACAATTTCTGGACACAGGAGGAGCATGTGCAGCATGAAGTACCACCAAAAAGCACAGGTCACACACAGACACACAGACACACACAGACACACAGACACGCAGACACAGAGGCTTCTGCCACCACACACACTACACACCAGAAAGGAACCTTATACTCATACTTATTCTGGTGTTTCTTATAAAATCCATTACTGGCATGATCTTTTTCTCACTGCTTTCTCCCAGTCTTTTTGCTTTTTCATCCATGGTAGGACTGAAAGGTGCTTTCTGGTCTAGGAAATGAAATCACAAAACCATAGACTGTGTTTATTCCATAGAGAATCTATCAGGCTGAGGCTAAACTGGAGGAGGAGTGAAGGGGATAGGGAGAGCTGTCTGGGCAGTCAGGGCTGAGAGAGAGTCCCCAAGAAACTCAGAGAAAGAGTCCCCAAGAAACCCCTCAACTCTCCTCGTCCATCAAGGATCATGGAGAACACCACTGAGCTATTCAAGCCATTAAGCAAGTTGGTGTACCTGAAAAGGTTGGCTGTTTTCTAGTTAAAGACCTTTCCAAGTTTTTTCCAACATATTTGTTTCTGAAATCTAGAGTAAGTAAGAACTGCTGGAGATGCAGCCATGTCTGGCCACATGTAAATTCCGTGATGACCTGGAAGGGAAATGAAAATAATTTCCACTAGCTCATTTTTTTCAGTTGTAAGAGAGGTTACTTTTTTTCGAGGAAAAAAAAAAGGAAGTCTAAAAAGGAGTGAAATGGATTCTAGAAAGCTTGACAGGAAAAAGGTGACGAAACCAACCCATCCAGCTCTAACAGGGTTTTGAAATTTCAGACTTTGCAACCTTCTGCATCTACAGCTTCAATTTTGCTGATGCAAAAGATAAAGCATGTTCTTCCCATCTATGCACTTTTCAGTGCTGATCATCCAAAGCATTAATAACTCAACCCTTCAGAACATAACATCTGGATCTTTAACTGCAAAAGAAGCTGTTTCGTTGTTCCCTGAATTTGTAAGGTTTAATTTCCTACAGATCTGTGCTTTTGCCATCATCACCACCATAATCCCAGGTTTCCTGCATGTCCTTTCTGATCCCCCCAGCTGGCATGTGACAGCCTGTGCTGTGGCATGTCCAGAGTTTGTGACTGCTGCTGTCAAAACCCCTTGTGTGTCAGCTGAGTGGGCCTCGCCCTGACCTCGGGAAGGACAGATGTTCAGAGCATTTGTACAAGCCACCTTTGTGTAGGGAACTGGACCAGTTCTATCCTCCCTCCCCTTCTCCTGCAGAAAATAAACCTAGATTGAATGTCAGTGTCACTTTTCACAAAGGAGTGCTCTGTTTGCAGGGAGCTCTGCTTTTAAGATGCCAGGCTGTGCGGTCACAGTGACAAATGGACAACCCCACTCGGCGCTCTCTGGACTTACCCCGATATAAATCAAAGCAAGTGGACCTGATATTTCCCTTGCAGCATATTCTGCTTCTGATGGATTCCCAATTTTGTGACAAACTGCATTGTACACTTGGATCTCGATGTGTATCTGCTCCTTTTCCCTGGCAATAAGAAAACTTTGAAATCAATTCAGTCCTTACACTCCAGCAGAACTCGGACTAAAATTGGACAGATATTTGTTACAGGATAGGAAGATTATTTAAAATAACATGTTCTTGAGATGCCTGGTATTTCACACCCACTGTTAAAATGGGACTTAGCTCCTATTTTTAATTTCACCTCTGTGAGATACAGACCTGCAGTTTGGATACTCAGTGCCACACTGAGCTTGGAGCTAAACCTGTTGCCTTTGTTGTCTTCTTTGGGTGGGCACTGTGATTTTAGGTCAGATCTGAATAGTTAAGTTGAAGAACCTCTATTGTCTCAGCTGACTTCACCTAACACTGTTTTATCTCAGCACCAAGTGTAGGAAAAGGAGCCATGTCTGCTCTGTCTGAGAGGGTTTCCAGGACAGCCCTGATACAGATATTTTTTTTTCCTTTTCTTCTATACCATTTTATTCCTAGAAACTTCAGGGGTCCTAAAACCCACTCTCAGAAAAACTTGTATAAAATTGAAGCAATTATTTTAGCTGATAGATTAAAACATATTTTAAGGCAGAACTGTTCAATCTGTCTTATAATTGACTATATATTTATAAAATTCTATAGGATTTGAATCTTTTACCCTTCCTTTTTTTCCTTCTTTCTTTTTCCTTATTGGGAGGCATAAGAAAATGACTGATGACATTTTTGGACTCATTCGGTGATTTACGAACAAAAAATCACTGAGTTTGCTTGTGTGCTTCTGAAAGTCTCGCCCTTGCTGTAAATTGAGGGAGTTTTATTTCATGCTTCTTTTAATGCCAGTGCTTTTGTCCCAGAATATTCTCCTCAGTCACATCAGCAAGTAAAAGGAAGACAGGGATTTTACAATTTTCATGATAAATAAGTCCTCATTTTCTCTCTTTGAACAACCCCAAAGCTCTTGCCAGAAATCCAATACATGGGTGCTCTGCAACTTGCAAAACACCACCTAGTTTTATACTGGTTTTCTAAAGCAAAACCAACACGAACAAAGCAAGTTTACTTGTGCTACCTCTTTGCACGGTTTTGTGGCAAACACTTGGTCTCCTAATTCCTATTTGTGTTTTAGAAGTAGATTTTATTTTCGTCTCCAAAGACGCAGTGTGTCTCCTTTTGGAAACCTGATTTATCCATTGAGTGCTGCTCTCAGTGGCGTCAGAGCTGTCCGACCTGGGGGCAACTCTTGCAGGGAGCAGGCAGCCTCTCAGCCTTTTGGATGGCTGTGTTGGCAGTGACAGTGGGAGGTGAGCTACACAGCCAGTTTGTGTGACAAAAATAGAGGCTTTCCAGAATTTGACGTGGGAAATGTACTTTTCCCTTTGTGTTTCTCAATCACCAACTCAAAGGCAAGCGTTATCAGGGTCAACTATGTTCCAAATCACCAGGTTAATGACAGGAAGAAATGCCTTTTATCCTCCTGGCTCTCTTTTGCCAAAATGTCATGTCCACTCTGCTTGAAACGAGCCCATGGTCACAAGAATTTAGGCATGTGTTTGTGCCAGGAGATGGTATTTGAGTTCACTGTGCTGGGAGATGATAACAGACCCTGATAAAGCCCTTTTTCACTCTGGATCCTACTTGTTGTCAACAGGCTAAAGGAAACCTGGCTGTCTATTCCCATCCATGCAGGTGAGATGCTCTCAAAGGTGGTGGTCAGCCCAGTAGAGCTCATAAAAGGCAAAGGTAATTTTGGAAAGGGAGGGCCCTGCTGCAGGTGTGACCATCAGTGGTCACGTAAATCCATGGAGGTGGGAATGAGCTTGAGTGTCCCTGTCACCACAATACGCTTGCAAACCTACCTTTGAACAAAAGATTAATTGCAATAATGAAATCCAACAACGGAAATATGGCGCTTTGTGGATAAAAATAATATTTATGGGGATTTGCAGTATAAAGTCTGTACTTTGCCTGAGTGCTCGTTCCATTACCTAAATCACAGACAATCACAGAGCAGATCTCAGAAGACAGTTTTCCCCCCTGGAAGTGTAGAAATATCTGGACCTCAAGCTTCAGAGTCTCTCAGCCTCTTTTTAAGTCAGAAATGCACACAAACAACACACAGTGCTTAAGAGCATGTGACATCTGCTGTTACCTGTAAATATGTGCTGCATGTAATCAGGGTGCTTTTTAGCAAAGGTTTTGTCTGCCTCCTTTATTTTGGCACTCTCATCTCCTTTCACAAATGGTTTGCACATAGCCAAAAAAGATATTTTTCTCTTGAAAGCTTCTTGAATTATAGCCTAAAAAAAGGCAAAGAAATGATACATTTCATATTACGAAATGGCTAGTTAAAAAAAATAAAATACTCCCCCCCCTACTTTCTCTGATGATATGTTCCCTTTAATAATTGCACAGTCATGCAAAGATAACATATTTTGATCTTGAATATTAATTAGAGGGGAATTTAAATTAGTTCCAGAAAACACTGCCTTTCTATACTCAGAAAATCAATTTAATGGAGAAAGAACATTTGTAAACAGTTTTCAGTGCAGTGAGCCTATGTCCTCAATGAGGAGAAAAGTATTAGCGAAATTATCTTTTAGATGAAAAGAAAAAGTGATTCCATGCTCTCTGAAGGTCACAGCTTTCATCTGAGGGTTTTATTCAGTCCTTGGGAGTTGGTTAAACAATGCTAAGCATTCACATTACCCCTTGGGTTGGCATGAATCAGACACTGTGCCGGTACGGAATATTAGTCTTAAAATATTGCATTTAAGCACCGTTTGCATTAAGAGTAAAATTCACTCCTGTGCAGAGGGCAACATGAAGCTTATGAACCTTTTCATCCCTTAAAAATGACTTACATGATGTATTGTGCTGGTGTGATGTGAAGAGGTGGATTTCACACTCAGTGGACCCCAATGAACTGGTGCTGGAGCTGCCAGGAGGAGCTGCCAGACTGGGAATAGCCTTGCTCAGCCCTATTATCCATCAGGGCCAGGGAGGCTGAGCTGCCGCTCCTCCTGGGCTGGGCTTTGGCTTAAGACCCTGTTCAGTGCTGCTGTGGCTGCATCTGTTGATAGCTACAATTTTGTCTTCTTGAGGTGGGCATTGCTTTCTGAAAACTGGGGGAACTGCAAGGCTTCATTAATGTATCTTGGCAGAAGCATAAACCTGGTTAGCAGTGGCAGGGCTAACACAAAGTTAATAGAGATGGTCAGAAAAGCATGACGTGAAAAGATATATGCATTTTTACAGGGTATATGAATCTCCCAGGTCCCCTCATCCACTGAAGTGATTCACAGAAGGCATCACTAGGGGTCCAGCTTGGTGTTTTATTAACAAGCCCTCATATTTGTTCTCCAGTCTATCCTCCACCTATGTAAAATTATCCAAGACACAGTGTGCCTCCATGAGTCACTTATTTAGCTGATGACTGTTCCCACCAAGCCAGAATGGAAGGCTGAGAGTGCCAATTAGTTAAGTATCTGTGTCTTTCTCTCAAATGGATTGAGACAACAGAACTTCTGATATGGTCTTATGCCAGTTTATTTCCATCCTGTTTATTGGTATGGGTTGTGCAGAAATACCATAGAAATGCTATAATTGTTTTGAGTAGATTTTGGGATAGGCTGCCACACGTGCACCTTGAGTGCTCTTACACTGAATACTCTGCCTGGATCTCAAGGGTGTCACTGGGGATCTGTTTATATTTTAGAAGTCTGTATTTAGTCAGCGCGTTATCCTGTATTTATTGGAATGGAAGCAGTCTGGAGTGGCCAGTTTAGCCCTGGAGAGTTAACAAGCCTCAAATGTGTGTAATAGTATCATGACCACCTGGGGCAATTCCGCCCAGGTGAGGAGAAGTTCCAGCTTTCCCTGGGCACAACCATGTTATCCATGGGCACAGTGGTGTTATCCATGGTTAGTGCCACAGATCTGGAGGTATCAGACCAGAAAATAGCAAGTGTGTCCTCCTGCAAAGAGCTTTGGGGACACACAAACGGATCCGTGCCCATTTCTTCCTGTGGGGACACACAAACGGATCCGTGCCCATTTCTTCCTGCGGGAATATTCACCAGTCTGCACTGATTCACAGGAAAGTGGTATTAGATTTTCTTATTTCTATGGACTTTAATTATCTTGTTGTTCAGGGCCCTTAGAGGATCAGCAGTAAAACAATGCCACCAATCTGACTTTCCAAGGTAAAATTTTTAAAAGGCAGAGGCTTACTTGTGCAAGTTTTGCTGAATTTCACGTGTAAATATAGGCACAGAATTAGGCCAGCCTTATTTTGTATGAGATGTTGGGTATTCTGCTTGTTTTCTATATCCTGGCAGCCCTTTCCTAATCTGGTTTGATAGGAGCATGTGAATGTGTTTTTGGGGTGTATCCATACACTTCAGACTTAAAATAAGTGTATTGAGGAAGATGAAAACGTGAGTGACTGGACCAGACAAGCTCTGTATTCTGTTTGCAAAGTTCACTTTTGGGTTTATCATCCTCAAGAACAGCTCAAAATCACACCTATGGTATCTTTGCATTGCCATGTGCCCATGGCTACTCTGCACAGAAAATAGTGACCAGCTCCGAGGGCTATAATGATAAAATGTCAGCCAGTGGGGAAAAGAACAGATTCAATTTCTGGTCCATACTATTCCTGAAGGTATTCTTATTATTATCCAAGAGCATTTATTTTCCCCAGGCTAGTGACCCTGGACATAGCCACTATTTGTTTTACTGTCCTCTTGGATTTTTATGGGGTAAAGTCTTTAAAGATATGAAACTTCAGCCCGTAAAAACTTTCGAGGAGAAAACTTTTTATGATGAAATCCCGAAGGGTTTTTCTCCTTAAGCCTTTATGCAGTGAAGTCCATCACTGTGGATGAATATCTGGCAACATATCCAGGAAACAGGGATGCCTACAGAACATTTCCTGTGCTGTACACTGTGCAGTTACTCAAGATACAGTCACAGTGTGGAGAGGATTGGAAGGGCTAAATGGACTTTCAGGAAAGTACTTGCAAAAGTGGGTAGTACAACTGTTTTTTCCCATTTTCATGTGTTTCGATGTCCTTTCATTGGAAAGCTCCTTTCTACAAGGTCCTGTCAGATACACCAGGGAGGATATTGCTGTTCTGCCCTTGGAGTGGAAGAAGTGTCAGGCTCTCTCATGAGTGTGGGGGCAGCTGCTAAATTGATAAAATGATAAAGAAAGAAGATTTGGGGTTTTATTTTTTGTGGATCTTGCAAGTGGTCTCTGCAGTGATATCTGGTCTCATGGTGCTACATTCCAGCCCTTTGTTCAAACAGAGTTAGAAAATGTGAAGTCCTTGGGGTGACCTTAAAATGGAAGAAAGAGCTCCTCTAACACTGTATTATAATGTAAGGACTATGACATGAGGCTACTGATTTTGGTGATTTACCTGGGTAGTGGACAGAATCCAGCTTCAGAAAATATGCAAAAACTTGTTTAAGAAGAGGCTGCAGAGTAATCTGGTGATAGGAAAGATTTCTTTTGTAGTTATGGGACTGACTCATGCTCTGCAATGTCAGGAGGTTTATATCCCTGTTTTGGAAGTGTGGGGAATCAGAGAAAGTCTGCAGAGAAACCATCTGGAGACAAAGTGTCTCAATGAGTATTTATATTGTCAGCACTTCTATTAAAATACAAATTAATTCCTTCACAAAGCACAAGCTTGAGGAATGCCTCAAATACGGGTTTGAGGGATGTACATTGCTATCATTACAAATAAAAAGCCAAAACCCCTTCATCAACAACAAACTTTGCTTTGAAAAAGGTTTTAAATGTATATTTGACTCAATCCCACCTCATACTCTTCTCTGAGCATCTGGACTATTCAATATCCAAGATTTTATTCCCTATGAGGGTGTGCACATATTTATTCCCTGGCACAGGTTGCCCAGAGAAGTTGTGGCTGCCCCATCCCTGGAAGTGTTCAAGGTCAGGTTGAACAGGGTTTGGAGCAACCTTGGATAGTGGAAGGTGTCCCTGCCCATGGCAGGGGGGTTGGAACAAAACGATCTTTAGCATCCATTTTAACCCAAACCAGTCTGTAATTCTGTGAGTCAACACTCAATAAAATTCTGTTAAGAACTCATAAAATGAATAGGTAGATGCACAAGAAACAAACCTTTCCCATGCCAACTTTTGATGGTAAATGATGTAACTGCTTCAATATTTTTAAGAAGCTCTTGAAATTTGCCTGCTTAGAGAGATATAGGCGAAGAAATATGGCACTGTAGTGAAAAAGTCATCATAACAGTGACAGTAGCTTTCCCCGCCACAGTCCCTAACCTTAAGCCTCTTTAACTATAGAAAGGTTTAATTTGGAAAATCCAATTATCTTGACATCTAGAATTAGCCAAAAATTTAGATATCTTCCTGGTGCCTTATCTCACAGCTGCAGTGCACACTCAGCCCCTGTCTCATTTACAGTACAGCAGGAACTGATGCTTTTATTGATGATTTTTATTAATGCAATGGTATCAGTCAGGGTAAAGCCATTAGCCTCTTCTATGAACTGCTTCCACTCCTAGGCTGGTAGTTAGAATTACGGGTGCACTGCAGCGCAACCTATGTGCTTTTCTCTATATCTTTCCAACCATAAAGAAGTCTCTGGCAGCCCTGCCACTAAGTCTGTGGCTGTTGTGATATGAATATCTTCTCACCAGCATGATCTTCTTACATAATTTTTTTTTTTTTTGTTCTGTGGGAAAAATAAGTAGACAGAATGCTAGAGCACATCCTTTTCTCAATATATTTATGGTATGAATAAATCATGCATTATACAATAAATGAGAACTTTCTGCTTATCTGCCATATAGTGCCTTCCCATTAATGTAGGTCACATCAAATATCAGCTTATTTAGGGTCTTAAGTTATTAACATATTTAAGTCTCTGTGAGTTATTTTGTATGCAGTGTATTTTGAAAGCGGATTTGCGGAGCTCCACAGCGATAGAACCATGTCTTCCCAAAAGCAGAGGCACTGCAGATGTGTTACCTTAGGCTTCAAGACCTGTTTGATACTCTATTAAGTCTCTTTTTATGTTTTGGAAGAAAAGAAATCCATGTTTTATATCCTTTCAAAGAGATCACTATTCATTAAAGAAAAATCCCGGAATACATAGCATATGGAAAGGCTGGAGGCTGCTCTGGAAACTCCCTGTCTGTGATGCCTCTGTGAACATGCCAATTATCCTCTACATTAATCCAGTGTCCAAACCCATGGTTTTTAACCAGTTTTGTTAACGTTGACACTTCTTTAAAGAAGAGA